AATAGGTATTATCCCATCAAACTGCTTACTCTGTAAGGAGCATAAAAAAAGAAAAAATTTTGTGGGTCGGCGGGCGAAAATGGATTTCACTTTACTTAACGTTGAAAGGGGAGGTTTCGTAGAATCTTCAAATTTTCTGTGTCTTTAAGTAAAAAAAAAAAAAAAAAAAAAAAAAAGAAGAGGAGAGAGAAGAAGGTTCAATCGAAAGATTAAGCACACCCGCTCGGCATCGGGTTCCCCCGCTATCTGCTGCCGGTCGAGATTCGTTCAACGCGTCGCATGTGGCGATAATTCAATTTCAATTTTCTTGGATTTAAGCTCTCGGAGCGCCCGCATGCCCGTATTCGTAAGCGATCGGCGTAAGTATATCCGCCCCACCCCTCATAGCTCGTTTGCGCTCCACGTTTTTTTATCTTCTTCTATTTCACGGTATTGCACTCGATTACTTTGTTGTTTATTTATTTATTTATTTTTTTTTTATCAAGTATAATAATAAAATGTTTTGGAAGCTGATGCCCGTCAATGAGTGTTATCAATTTCGGGTTTTAAGTATGATTACTTTGCATCTTTGAACTTTTTAAAAAAATTTGTGACAAATAATATTGAAGCCGCAATTTCGTGACAAAATAATTTTTTTTATTAATACTTGAAAGCACTTGGAAAGTTAACAATTTTTTACTCATTACTAAAGCTTCAACGAATCCCTTATTATTTCATATTTACCATGATTATATAAAAATTTATCCTAAAATTTATATGTGATCTAGAATACATAGAAATTAAAGAAATTCTTGTTGAGATTATGTATTTTGAATATTTTTTTAAAACAATACTAATCCTTCAGATCTTAAGCTACGTTTTTGATATATGTTTACTATAATTTAAAAAATCTTTTTTCGTTTTACAGACTTTTTGTTAAAACTATTTTTAATTACGTACTATTTAAAATTTTTTAAAATACGATACTCCAGATCATTAGCTACATTTTTAAAAATGTTTTCCTTACTCAGCAATTTTCATTTTTCGCACAGTTACTATCTAAATTTCTACGTATGGAAAACTAATAAATTCCTTATACACTATACCTCAACCGAGCGAAAAGGTTTCTAGTTTGTTTAATGTGTCACATGCACATGGAGCTAATAGATTTTTTTTTTTTTTTACTTAACCAACATTAAGCGTATCATAAACTGTACAAATTCTCGATTGAATGAACCACACCTCACTGCGTTACCCAGACTCGAGCTGAGATAACAAAAGTAATGAAATTTCCATCGAGCGACATCAGCTGCAGCTCATATCTGCCCTGCCAAGAGAACTAACGCTCTGTTACTTTGGAAAGTAAACTATGCAGATTGTGTGTGTATACCACCCATTTGAAATAAGACGGAAGCCGCGTATCAGCATCGAGAAAATGAAAAGCATCTGTTGAATTTGAATTCCAAATCCAATGCTGTTGGCGAGATGGAGACGTGAGGATGGAAAACATTTATAAAATTCACAGGATCTACGGGCAAACGTGCACAGAGGGGGGGGGGAACAATATATTATTGTGTGCACACGCTTGCGTGTGTAAATACACGGGTGATGACGTACACAAGAGCACACAGTAGAAATGAACGTTGAGAGCGTTTTTTGTAACTCTTTCTCCGTTGCTCAAGCGTTGGACTTGACCTGCACAAAAGATTGCATTATACAATTCGGGCAAACCTCCATGTGAATTGTATTGCGCGTAGGTACGCGTGCACGCGGCTGTTGCTCCCCTCCGGTCGGCTGATGGTGTATACTGCATCCTTTTTTTCGCTTGATTCGGTAGGTGTATATGAGCGTCGGATTGGGGTAAGCGACTAAGTGTACGTGTTTACGTATAATGAAATTTGAACCAACCATTCGCGCTCTACAATCTTCTCTCCCCCTTTTTTTTTTTTTTTTTTTTTTTTTTTGATCGTCAATCTTTTTCTTCTTTTGTCCGAACTTGCCATTTTTCAATGTCAAGTTTGTAAGATAAATGTAATAAAAACTTAAAGCATCGAATCCAACAATGTAAAGTTGACCGGCCAAATTGTAAATGAGCTTCTTCAATTTTCCGTTCTAACATTTTATCTGTATCGTCAAATTGACTAGATGTACAATTACATAAATNAAAAAAAAAAAACATACAACTAATACTCACCAATGCCTCGATTTTTTTAAACGATGTAGGTGTAGAATCATGAGTATAGATACGGCGCACAGAAAATAATACCGACACTTGATGTATCGCATTCTATTTTTATTCCCATATTCCTGCCCTCACCACGACATATTCATTGTTTCACCGTGTTTGATCCATTAAAAGACCCTTGCGTCAAATAAAGGCTATTAATCAATCACTGACAGCTCGCTCGTATCACCCGTGGGCTATATGAGTAACAGCGTCGATTTACCACACAGCTGTTAAATGGCATTTTCGAATTACCATCGTATCCTCCTTTTTTTTTCTCTTATTATCTGCAGATGCGATTTGTCAATGAGCCTTAACGTTTTGCGCACGTAACTCGCGTACATCAAACACTCACGCACCGTTCCTGTATTCGTTATAAATAGTTGTATTTTGATACATGTACGCGTATTACAAAGAGGCCATCAATCCTTCACCCATAGCAAACGTACCTATACTCATGAAAAAAAAAAAAAAAAAAAAAGGATGAAAAAAGAAACTGGAGCAATTTTTCCCCCAACAAACATCACAGTCTGCACGCGCTGAATTTGAATAATTCGCGCAATCAACGGCAAAGCACCAGCCACTCCATCTAGCTTCTTGGTATCCCGCGACCGATAAATAGATCGAATCAAGTGATCGTAGCCCCTGCCGTAACGATCCATCATGCGATTCTACTTGTTTCTCTTTGCCTCCCACGTTTCTACGTCTCCCTCCTCCTTTATGATCATACCAACACCGAGGCCAGACACCCATACAGCGCATAATATAGCATTCAATAGGTTGATACGTGCGCGCCCTGGAAATCACACCAACTTATCAAAAGTGAGCTCGCACTCGGGTAGGAAGAGGCAGAGAGCCGGGAAAGAAAGGAGGAAGGAAGGTATCAGGGATCAGATTCATAAATAAGCGCCAACGATATCGCAATTTTTCCCGCAGAGCTTGCCCTTCCTCTCTTTCCAACCTCGCTGCGTATAACACTCCTTCTGTTGTGCCAAGTTTATTGTTTCGGGGTGTCTATACGTGGTCGGCTACAGGGAACAACTGTGAGTAATTCAGACCTCGCTTCGTTTCTTTATTTTTATTACCATCTTTTGTCTGTGTTACTGTAACACGTGACAAGATAATCCTACGGAAGTAAAGTGCTGTACGGTACAAGTATGTACATGTCGGTGCAATGTTTGGGCAAACGAGAGATATTTTTTCTATCAATGCATTTTTTTTTAATATTGTTTTCTACACTTTTTTAAATTAATATATAGGGTTCAATCTGAGTTGGCACTTTCTTTAACCGAACCGTTCATTTGCAATAGTAACTGATGTTATTTTACAGGCGTTTTTTGTATCAAACAGGTAAGTAAAAACAAAAAAAAATTTATTCCGCAAGTAAGTTTCCAATATTCATGATTACATTATCACGACGGATTTTCAAAAAGGCTACTATCTATTTTTATCAGAAACAATTTACGGCTCATCAGGCCAGCGTTGCCCACAAGTTTAGCTTTAACTGTCTGAATAACGCTGTCTAACTTTCGTGACAACAAATTCCTACCGCATAGGTTCATCATCATTAGCGATATCTTTCTTTCGTTATTAAACATATCTGAACACATTTCAAAAAGGTAGTACGTGCTGTAATGCATTTGCTTTTTACCACTCTTTCAACCATTTGGACTGAAGTTCTTTACTTGTCTACAAAATAGCCTATTGTCATAAAATTTAATAAGTATACGTACAATATATGTTTCATACATCAATATACATGTTAGTAAAACTTGAGCAACGTCAGAAGTTTGTTTAAAAGTCAACTGCTGTTGAAATACGAGAAAAATACTATTATTCCATGAAAATTCTACTGTGAACATTCAACGACAGTAATCTCACAATCATCAATAAAGGTAAGTGTTCGGGATACAATGGATTACTTCAAATTTACTTAAAAATAAAAAACCAAGCCTGCTTAAAAGACGATAAAGTTTGAGTGTGAGGCACGTCAGCTAAATTTATTACAGTATAAGTTATTTTCTCGGTTATTTCTCTAGAACTATGACGTCTTCAAATCTATTTAATCTACTGCAATTACAAAACTTTACAACATAGAAGTTATTCCTCGTGGTTCTAACATTTCATTATTTTCATATTTTGGATAAGGAAAAATCATAGGTTAAGTTGCAAACGAGGTTATGCAGTCATAGTTCATTAATAAAGTTTTAATGCTAGATTTTTTAAATACATCAATTTTTTGTGAAAATAGTTTAATTATTGCCTTATTTTAATGCTACATTCTACTCAAAACGTATACACCTAATAATTACGAAAAAATTGTTTTTAATTTATGGATTTAAAAATAAGACCAAGGATAACAATTATCCTACTAAAATTTTTCTGAAAGTAATACATAATTATTTTTTTGAATTTTAATTTCAATGGTGTGGTGGCACTGACTAGCTAAGAGTCAACGCACACATCACAATATTAGATATGGGTCTTTATCAAATAAATTTCTAAATTACCACTTCCACAGATAATTTTCCCTGACCAACAAAATAATAAAACTACTATACATAGTGAATCGTGTTGTAACTATTTCAAAACTGAATTCTCAACCAAGTTCTGAATAAAATAATGAAAATGGCTTATTATTTATGTTAAATAGAAATTAAAAAAAAAAAAAACATCAACCAAACCACCTTCGTCATCAGAAACAGAGGACTACCAAATATTAACAACAAAGCTACTAGTGTAAAAAGTCACTTTAATAGTAGCTCTACTAAACTTTGGCGATATATTTTTCACGAATATGGCTGAAGGAGGCAGTCCTTACATTCCCAACGGATGCAATAAAAGTTACAGACATGATGCTCTCAAGAGGCATGAATTCATCGACTCAGGTAATGAATCTTTGAATTGAAAAATGTGTAACAAAACTTTAATGAAAAAAATTCATTTAACAGAGCAAGGACGAGTTTATACGGATACTAGACCCTTTGTTTGCAAACTATGTTCAAAGAGTTTTACAAAACAATCAAAATTAATAATACACCAGTGGACACACACAACTGATGGGCCATACGTCTGCAAAATGTGTTCAAACAATTTTCCTGAAAAATCGGATCTTACGAGACACGAGTTACTTCACGCAAATCATAAGCCCTTTGTCTGCAAACTGTGTTCAGAAAGTTTTACAAAACAATCCAAATTAATAGAGCATGAGTGGTCTCACACGAGTAATAAGTCCTATGAGTGCAAACTATGTTTCAAAAGATTTACTTCGAAATCAAATGTTACCAGACACGAGCGATCACACACACATAATGAGTCCTTTATCTGTGCACAGTGTTTCAAAAGTTTTTATGATAAATCATCCCTTATAAAGCACCTACGGATTCACACTGGTGAAAAACCTTACGAGTGCAAACTATGTATAAAAAGATTTACTCAAAAATCAGATCTTGGCAGACACGAGCGGATTCACACTGGTCATAGGCCCTACGTCTGCAAAATATGTTCGAAAAGTTTTACCCGAAAATTCAGTCTGGAAATACATGATCGGATTCACACTGGTGATAAACCCTATAACTGCAAACTATGTTCAAAAAGATTTATTCAAAAGTCGCATCTTACAGTGCACGAGCGGGCTCACACTGGCAATAAGCCCTACATTTGCAAACAGTGTTTAAAAAGTTTCACCAGAAAACAAAATTTAACAGCGCATGAACTAGTGCACTCAGATGATAAGCCCCACATCTGCAATATGTGTTCCCTCAATTTTTCTCGAAAATCAGATCTTATAAGGCACGAACGGATTCACACAGGTAATATGGCTTATGAGTGCAAACTATGTTTAAAAAGATTTACTCCGAAATCAAATCATGTCAGACACGAGCAGACTCACACTGGTAATAACGGTAATAGAACCTACGTTTGCAAAACGTGTTCGCAAAGCTCTACCCAAAAATACAGTTTGATGGTAAATGAGTGGAGTCACACTGGTGATAAACCTTACAGTTGTAGTCAGTGTTCAAAAAGTTTCGCTAAAAAACGAAATTTAACATTGCACGAGCGGACTCATACTGATGATAAGCCGTACGAGTGCAAACTATGTTTAAAAAGCTTTACTAAAAAATCAGATCTTGGCAGACACGAGCAGAGTCATGCAGATTATAAGCCATTCGCCTGTAAACTATGTCCACTAAGATTTGTTCAAAAGACCCATCTTATTGCGCACGAGCGGATTCATACTGGCGATAAGCCTTACGAGTGCAACCTATGTTTAAAAAGCTTTACTAAAAAATCAGATCTTGGCAGACACGAGCGGATTCACACTGGTGAGAAGCCGTACAGTTGCAAACACTGTTCGAAAAATTTCACTCAAAAATTTGATTTGACAGTACACGAAAGGACGCACACTGGTGATAAGCCCTACAGCTGCAAACAGTGTTTAAGAAATTTTACTCAAAAATCTAGTCTTACTGTGCACGAGCGAATTCACACTGGCGATAAACCTTATGTTTGTAAACTATGTTCCAACAATTTTTCTCGAAAATCAGATCTTACGAGGCACGAACGGACTCACGTAGATGATAAATCGTATGTTTGTGAACTGTTAAAAAATCAAAGCTTGTAAGTATATCTACGAGCGCACTTACTCAACAATTTGTATAGTAAAAGCTCAGAACTTCCCTCATATATTATTATATTTTTTAATGTATATTTGAGTAACCTTACGGAGTACGTATCGCAGAAATAACATTATGTGTCAGCTCCTTCTTCCAATTATTGGCATTTTGTAGACCAAGAAAAAGATACGACGTTGATCAATGTTGATATTACGATTTTAATTTTATCTTGTATTCTGTTTGTATATCGTGCACGACGGAAGAAAAAAAAAATAATCACACCAGCTTGCAGAGTAGAAAATACTCTATCAACTTAGTTATTATTTTTTTTAATTTCAACTATTTTTGAAACCGAACAATTGTAAAGTTCGATTCTGAGGAGCAGTCGTACCTATTGTATTTTTATTAATAAAATATTGTATCAAGTTTTCTCCAACAATTGATTTTTTCTTAGTTTGTAAAGTCAAATGATAAATTCACAAAAGTAATATTTGTCAATACATAAAATAAACCACTATTGTTTTACATGGGTTGATTTCTTGAACTCCAATCACCGACTATTCCTCACTTTGATCCAAGCCATTACTCCTCACCAAAACAACCTCCTCAAGATGCAAAATAACATTTAATAACAAAATAACACTGGTTATTTATCCAACGAGATGTATAAATGACCAGCCGATTTGTTTGCAATCATAAGTTGCGCGCATGGAACGTTGCAATAGTTTTATCACGTTATTAAACGTATACAGTTAGCAGCAGTCACATCGATGATTTCACAGCAACAGCAGTGCGTGTAGTTTATGGTCCATGTATGCATGCACTCGCACACACGAGCCATTAGTCAGCTAATGAGGGAACGCTGGAGGTGGTACACTTTCACCTATACCAAACTATATAACACGATGTACCCATAGAAAGGAGTCGGAAGTAAAGAGCCAGTTGTGTTACATATACCCGTAAGGACACGGTGATTAATCATCGCGTCAAACGCGGGAAGGCTCGTTTGGATATATGCAGTGCGTTGCGCAAGTATATATATGATACATCCTCGGTAGACGTATCATCAGCGCTGGTGCACCCGTGTGGCTCTCTCTCTCTCTCTCTCTCTCTTCATTAATCTAGTTTCGTGGAGCAGCGCTGCTCCGTTTTTACCCATGGCTTTATTAATGTTTACCTTTTTCACCCCCTTGTCTCCCCCTCCACCCCATCACTCCTACTTCATCTTCATCAGTTCGAACGAAGCTGCATGCGGCTGCGTTTGCTCGATACATACACACACGTTTCATCAAACAGCTGTTTTTATCGCTGCACCCATGCCATGCGTGTACCTCGTACACACACACACACACACACACGCCCATACTATCAGTTGCGTTGTTTTAATTAAAGAGAGCTGAGATCGCGATGAATAATCGACCCTAAACATATATATAATGAATATCTTTAACAAGCGTTAAGCCGCAGGGCTGTACGCAAACACGGAAGCTCTGTTTACCTGTATACGCAACGTATACCAAAAGGCGCACAAGATTACTCGAATTTAATTTAAATCATCAATCACGACTCCATATACGTTCGGTGTTGGTGGCTTTACCCTCTCTTCCCTATATACATAACGTGCATGCTGTTGGTGCTGCGTGGTATATAATTGCACCGTCGGTGGCGAAAGTCAATCACAGCTGCGTGTATACGTCATTATACCCATTTGACGGGCCGATCTGCGTTTGATTAGCTGGCTCATCTCTCTCGGTTACCATCCCGGCTAATTTTGGCGTTTGATCGACAAAACGCGGCCAATTATTATCAGACCTCACTCTCGCGATGATTTTTAAACCTCTCCCGCCTATGGTGTATATCCAGTGTGGGGAAAAATTGCAAGAGATTTAATTTTAAGTTAGCCACTAGGTGTACGTATACATACAAGAGTTTGTAGGTCGCTGTAGGGAAGCCCTTGGTATCATCTCTTGGGGTGGAAAATCGAGGGACGGACGAGAACCGCGGTCCCTTTCTCTCGATGGATACAGATAAATACATGGCAGCGGACGTGTGCAGTGTCTGGCAACGCGACAGGACCGGCCGTTAGCTTGAAGTATTCAATTAGTCGTGTCGCGAATCGAAAGGTTTGTGTGTGTGTCCGTGCACAGGTATATACGCAGCTTGAGACAAAGACCGCGCGAGAGATTTCCGTGTATATATATATATCTTCTGGTGTGTTTCCAATCTCCGCGTATTTACCTACATAGGTATGTGCAGCATAGCCACTCTGGCGTCTCTTTCTTGTTTTACAACGGCGCCCTGCCGGCGGCTGTATTGGTATACATTGGGGGTGTAGGGGGAGGAGGGTGGCGCGACAGGAACACAACGCGCGCGTCCGTACAGCGGTTGGGTATACCTGATTCCTGGTTCGCCCGCTTCTTGTTGTACCATGCATGCATAATGGGGTCGCTTACCTCCCCACCCCTTACCTACCTACCTACCTACCCCCCCGTGCAATTTTATTTTCGTCCTGCGGCTGACGCCACGAGTGGAAAATTCGTAGCTCCCGTTCACTGCTCTGGCTCTACTGTAAGTGGGATTGTTAGTTTGGGCTTGTAGTATGCAGCTATAGAGGATGCATTTTCTTATTGCTTGAGGTGAGTTGGAATACTTTATTTTATATACACGTATATGATTACGTTTTTTCATTGGTAACGAGCTGCCTACGCATGTGTACCCATGCATCTGAAAATGTACTTCCCCGTGTTACTGTATGGAGGAGTATCATCTTCGCGGAAACTAATGGCTATTGGCAAATAGAGGAGTCTGGAATGCATGTATATATGTACAGGTTGTACGTAGAGGAAAGAAGGGAACAGCTTTCAAGATTATAAACTGCTGTATCAGGTATACTTGGTCCGTTGAGAGCTTCAAATTCGACGTATATATATATACATGTCGGTGTAGGTATATTATAAGCTCGAGAGTTTGTTTCGCTTTGATGATTGTATGATATGGTTATCAATAACAGCAATTGAGAACTTAATTTGTATTGAGTCCATACGAATAATTTGCGAGCAAGTGGCTGATTGTCAATTACAATATTACAACTTAATTAATAACCTACGTACAAGCGGCTAGTAGGTAAATTTGAAATTTTCATTTGTTTGTTTGCGCTCCACGTTTGTCTTTACTTAATTTAGGGTTTATCTCGCCTTGTTTGTTTTCCATACCAATATACACGTGCAATTTGGTGTAAAATACGAAATTAACTTGCATTATATATTAACGCTTAGTAATTGATTCACCACCACCAATAACGTATATTAAATATTTTTCGTACGAACGATCGAGCAAAGCTTTGTCATTCAACTCCTCTCTCCCCACCCGCGCACACAAGCCATGGGGCAAAATCAATCCTCACCGCTCGACTGCGAATTCAGCTCGAAAACAAATCGCCCCACGTCCAGTCGCCGCCCCGCTCGAAATCCCCCGCGCTACCCTAAAATGTTTACCCTGCCGATCCCCCGGAAGATCTATCGGGCGTCCTCCCTCGGCGAATTGAAAACCGTGGATGCGCCTCCGGACACACCCCGTACGTCACGTTAGTGTAAACACGCGCGCGCGCGTGTACACATGCCACAAGGGGTGAGTCCGGCGCATACATCCAGCTCAGAACGGCGACGTCCGGCGAGGCTTATGTCGATTTTTCGAGGATTATTTGTCGGGATCGTGATTCACCAAGACGCTCGATTGGGGAAAAATTATCACCAAGCCTTTTTCGATAGGACAAAGTAGAATACTGTCAGCGGTGTAACCTCGTCAAAGCGATCGGCTTGTTTGCCAGTAACGTCGCGCGCGTGCCAGTAACAGCCCTCGAGAGAGAAGGAGCACCTACTCGTCGTACAAAAGGGAGTCGATCGGGTGTCTTGTGCGGTGCGGTCGTTCTTTGTTGGAGCATTGAAAAAGTGAGGGGTGGAGGGGGGCCCACATCTCGCTATTATTTTCCGAAGCGTTCGCTCCTACTCGAATTCAGCCGTGCATCCATCCGGGCGCAGGGGGGCCACTTTAATGGCTCGCTAATTCGAGACCACCTTTGTACTCGAGCCGATTACCGAGCACACCTCCGTGCTCCATGTCTTTCTCGGTTGTTCTCCCCCCTTCTCGAGTATACCAGTATAGAAGTACCTTATACGTGCACATACAGTGGCGACATATAGACTTACTCGTGGTAGCCGTTGAAAGCGCCAATCGTTTGATTCGCGCGTCGACGCGAAGAGGCCAACGGGGGACTGTACACAGCTGGGGTTGTATACGTATACGTTTGCGCAACCCGCCCGGGCGGCCGTGTGTCGCTTTTTCATTAGCTTCTCTGTCGAGCTGGCAGCTGAATAACCGCAAACTAACGGACACGCGTGTGTGCACGAATCCACACCCACGCGAGCGCGTATCTTCGTTTTTGCCCGGTGGGTGGAAATTTACTCGCTGGAACGACTGGGTTGGCTTGTTTTGCGCCCAAAGACGATAATGCGAAAAGTTGGGTCCGGGAGTTTGTGTTTTTGCTCCACATCACCAACACGTGGCCCCGTGCGACAATTCGTACGGTTCGTACGGTTCGCGAGTAGTGTACGGGATTACAAATTATTGGACAGTATACGTCAAAGCAAACATCGGTATGATCGTCATTGCTAGATTGGGAAAACTCATCCACTCTGGATGAAAAATTTTTCAAAACAAACAAGTAATATAATTATGATCATGTTTTTTTTTAATTTAAACGACTTGAAATTGGAATTTTTTGACCTAATGGTTATAGTTTCTTCTTGTATAAAGCCTTGCTTATTGTTTTGTTGAACGTAACATATATATTTGATTTTATAAAAAATACCTCACTTGGGGATAAAAACTTCGGTCACATTAGTACTTCACCATTCAAAAAACAATAAAAACCGATTCACTTGGGATGAAACCGATGCTTGTATGAGCTCTCGT